CCATCCTCTTCTGTCGCTGCGCCATCCATTTTCTCAGCCGCTGTCCTTTCCTCGACTATGTCACTGCAATCTTCGACCACTGCTGCTCTCTTTTCTTCAACAGTTGCTCAGTCGACTAGTGTTGCTAGCTTTTCTTCATCAGTTGCTCGGTCGACAACCGCCGCTGCTGCCATATCTGCAATGGTTGCTCAGTCGACCGCAGTTGCAGTATCAAGCTCGGCTGCTGCATCTTCATCGACATCTTCAGCCCACTCATCTGTTGTCATGCAATCTTCTGTCGCACCTTAGGAATTTGTAATTTTTGTAGCATTAGCTTGTATTCTTTATTTTCGCAATGTAACTTTGTTTGTTTATGCAATGAACGAATTTACTATCTGTGTTTTGTCTCCTGCAATGCTTATTCCTGATGATGTATGTCTTGTTATTTATGTTCTCGATTTGTTGTGTGTATGTGTACCCTGGCCTATTAAGAATCATATGATGCGTTTGTTGGCCCCTGTTTATGTGTGCGTGTATGGGCTTAACGAAACTCAACCAATTCCATGGGAACACTTGTAGACCTCATTAAGCCGTGACCACTCTTTTCCTCTCCCTTCCTCTTGCGACGCCCAGCGTAGACGGTTACTCTGATCGACTAACAATGAATATTGTCCCCTTTTTGACCATCTCTAGATCTAGTAACTCACCAATTGCCTAGTCGACCACTGCCTCACATTCTACCACTTCTGCCACTGTCGCGCAGTCCACAGATGTTGCTCCGTCTACCGCCACTCCTTCAAAATAATTTGGGCGTTTGATGATGTGTCTGTATGTTTTGCTTTAGTGCCGCTTGTAATCATGTATTGATCGTGTTGTATAATACTGTCTGTTTCCATTCTTCTTGCTGTTTCGTATTTTAATTCTTACGAATATATTGATTGTGGTCCTTATGAATATGCCGGTTATCTTTGTGCTCGATACCTTTCCTGCTACGCCTTCCATTGCTGCCCAATGATTTGATAAACCATAAAAATCACTCGCTGCTCCCAAATGAGTATAAATCATAAAAACGCAACGCCATTAATCATTGCCCAGTTGATGTGTGCCCCGCTCGGGGTTTGGTCTTGTCACTTGCCCACCCTAAGGGATGTTCCGAAAACATTGTGGTCGTCC